ATTTTCATATTCTTCAGTCTGTGTTCCTGAGTGATAGTCTGAAGCAGCTTCAGAACTGGGTGAGGATGATACGTGTTCCTCTAAACTGTCTCTTTTTCCTTTTTAAACATGACATCATTTATTGATTATTTGAGAATTTCACATCATGAACCCAGACCATACTTGCTTCCCAGTCCTTTCATGTCTATCCACCAACCCTTATAACTCACCCCCCAGAAAATTAAAAATAAAAATAGAAAAAGAATCTCATTAGGCTTTTCTATATACTCAAACTCTCAGTGATCTGCCCCTTCAATAGAACTGAGTCCCTCTCCTTTTGCTTCCCCATCAGAAGTCATCAATTGTGGAAAACTAACTTCAGCATCCTTATCACACTTTCTAAGAGTTCTCTTCACTGGCTTCCTGTTTAGGCTGTTACTTTTGGGGAGGCTGAGGATAGGGTGGCTTTCAATTGTGAGTCTGCAGTCATTGATCTCACTGCCTAAGTAGCCTCCTTACTCTTTACAGTTAGGAGCTCTGATTGTGGTTTCTGGTGACAGCACATACTACAAACATGACTCCTAGCTGCTGAAGGACCATGGACCCAGACAAAGGCCTAAGAATGGACATTAACATGGTCTCAAGTGGCAGTATAAGCCACTCACATCAATAGCTAGGCAGGCAGCAGCAAGGCTCACAGACACCAATATGGTTTCAATCTGCAGCACAGACCACAGACATTTGTAGTCCAGGCTATGCAGATTAGTATGCTGGTGACTGTGGTCGGTGTTGCAGCCTGAATCCACTACTAGCCACCCTACTGAGGTTAGTTAGTGGCCTGCACTGCCAAATATAGCCATAGTGATGTGGCACTTTTTTTCTTGTTTTTGAGACAGGGTTTCTCTATATAGCTTTGTCTGTCCCGGAACTCACTCTGTTGATCATGCTGGCCTTGAACTCAGAAGTAATAACTCCAGTCATGTTTTCAGAACAAGAATAGAGAGCCCATCTGCTCAGCCCATGACAGCACTTCACTTCTGGCTCTACCACACTAGGGGCATGTGCAAGCCTTCTAATTCTAGTCCAGGCATTCCCAACATCTTTCAGATTATGTTACAGTCTTAATGTCCCTTTATCCTTCTAACCACTGACTTCGTCAAATGTACACTCTTGCACAATCAGTGAAAGAGAGAGGGGAAGAGCAAGAGAAACAGAGACGTGCGTGCGCGCGCGCGCGCGTGCGTGCGTGCGTGCGTGTGTGTGTGTGTGTGTGTGTGTGTGTGTGTTAATCACAGTATCAGTTTACAAACAATTTGTTAGTTATTGAATATATACTATGTTTTTCTTCTATTAATTCCTGTTAGACTATAATAAGCCTCCTTGCATGATGGGATAAATTTTATAGTGGTTTACAGGTTCACCTGCTTCTGTTAAGGTCATGGGGCTCTCTTCTATCACTTTTTCTCTTTGCACATTTACTCATTATTGTGACCTGTGTTGCTCTTAGACTAGATAAGGGTAAATTGGAATGGCTTTAAATGTTTTAGTTCTCATCCACATTCTACCCCTTCTAATTCTTATTTGTACATTTCACCCATTTTATCTCCATTTTCGTTTTTAAAATAAATTATAGTAACATATTTTTAAATGGAGGAGTATCTCCCGTGTCTTTCGTAGTCATGATTCAATAGGGTGGCTGAAAGGTTCACACATGTATGTTTTATTAAACTTGCTGGAGTTTGCCTTAGAAATATCCCAAGTTTTCCATCTATGAATACCAAAAGTTAATCAGTGTCCTGCCTCTCTGTAGTAAACAAAGACCATTTACATTTCTTATTGAATTACTGAATGTGGATTTTCATATTATTATTGGCCATGACAGGGATTGAGTTGCAGAATACTATTAGACTTTGGGGATCTTTAGCCTCAGCACACAGACAAGAATACAACAAATATATATATATATATATATATATATATATATATATATATTTAGTATATGTAATGTAAATATAAAACATGATGCAGTATGAAAACAAATGTTTGGATTTATGATATCAACCACTGCATTCTTATTGCTCTGCATTGCCTGATCTCTAGGCTTTCTAATGGGAGCATGTTGCTCTTCCCTCTGCTTTATGAAAGGAAAATTTATAAATAACCCCAGACAGAGCAGCAGAAGGGACAATGGACAACTGCATTTCAATTAATTACTTTCCATTTTCAAATGAAATCAGAGCACTAAGGGAAATCCTGCCTGCAGATATAATGCAGTGACAGTACTGTTTGTCTGAATCCTCTCTGGTCTCCTCCATTTTTCTCTATTTACAGGTCAAACAAGCTTTCTACTTGACTCTCACCATTCATCACAAGCTAGCACTTCTCCTTAACTATCTCCTTACTTTTGCCAACTAAGTTTGAATAACTCAATATTTATTCCAAAATTAAGTGTGAGACACTTTCTAGTTGCAAATACATAAACAAGGTGGTAATGTCTCTTTGAAGACATTCACTTCTGGTCAAAGAGTTTTGCAAGCAAAATAATAATTCTATCAATTGACTTCTTATGACTTGATTTGAATTTGTGAGCATTACATATTGAACAGTATACTCTTCACAGAGGCAATGCTGTGTAGAACCTCTGTAGCACACTTTTGGACTATGCAATAGATGAAGTAAAATTCCTATAAGTACATACACTGAAAACATTCATGCCAGCCAGGCATTGGTGGTGCAAGCCTTTAATCTCAGCACTTGGGAGGCAGAGGCAGGTGGATCTCTGTGAGTTTGAGGCCAGCCTGTTTTACAGAGCAAGTGCCAGGATCTACTCCAAAGCTACACAGAAAAAAGCAAACCTTCATGCCTTATGTGAATAAAGATTCACTTTGTGTACTTACATTTTTAGGTTAATTCTAATACTTACACTGTTCAGATTTAAAATGCATATCACAGAAAACTATACATCCAATTATGAGAAATTGGTAAGTTTTAAAAGAGATGAGATAATGCTATTTATTCTCTTGTTTGTTAAATAAATTTGGTGCTTAACATGTGGAGAAGGGACCAGAGTCACAATCAAATCAAAAACTCAAGAATGGATATAGCAAACTGGATTATGTGAGGCAGGGGACAGCAAGAAAGGTCATGCTCTGAGGCCAGGGGATCCTGTTTCTGGATATACTCACGGCAAATTTCCCAGGAAAGGCACATAGTAGCTCTCACTTTCAGACTGGTCTGTTTGTAGGGTCTATTGGTATTTACATAGTGTCAGTTTAGTAGGTGAGACAGGGTAACTTTGATGCAAATTGAAAGACGAGACAGTAGTCTAGGAAACTAGCAAAACCCAATGACAGTGCTCAGAGCTCCAAGTTGCATGAGTCATTTTTATTTTTACCTCATTGCTTTTATTCTCTGTGTGTGGTGGTGTACATCTTCAGACACAATAAACAAGGGATAAAGGGATAAAGACACTCTATTTCTTAATCTATGTTTTAAATAACTGTTACTGTGTAACATTCAAAATGTAAGAAGCTGTCTTTGGTAAAGATTATTTCATTATTTATCTTTTTGTCTTTTTAGTATTGTTATTATTCTTCTATTTAGTGATGACCTTCACATGCCATTTAATTTCAGGATAGCAGGTTCTGACCCTCTTCTTTTATCTTCTGTCTTATCAGTCACCATCATGTTGTCACCATCAGAGATTTCTGCTCCCCCCTGCACAGTGACAGTGACTCATAATATTTGGTAATGAGAATTCTGACAACCAATACTAGCTTATAATCCCTTCTACTTCACAGCAGATAGATCTCAGAAAGAAAAAAAAAGGCATTTTTTTATCCAGCTCACAATTTTACTGTTAGGAAATTTCAAATGGCATCTTTGCCTTTATTTAAATTTTGATTAATTACAGCTGCTATAACTAATTGACCCAGGCTATTTCCTTAGTCTATAGTGTCAGATATAACTTTCCTGGTCCACTGTTCATATAAGCATCACTCTGATTCTGGCTGTAAAGAACATTTTCAGTAGTATTGATTTGGTTTCTAACATGTCCCATGATCTGATTTCATGAAACTAAAAAAAAAAAAAAAAAAAAAAAAAAAAAAAAAAAAAACAGTTCACAGCATACATAGTATTTTGGCTCTTGTGAGCAAATATGGAAAGAATTATCTTACCAATGACCTCTGTGGATTTACAGGCTTATTGGTCTAAGCACTGTACTAACTCATTTCTTTAGCTAAGAGTTTTAGATAATGCTATGAAGGGCAAATGGCTTTTTTGTGCTAGTTAGAAGGAATATGACTTCTACCATGGTGATGTCCCCCTAAGATCCAAAAAAGGAAGGTGTACATATTAGTTCCTTCTAACAATATTAGCCTATAACAATAGTAGTACATGTAATGCTACATATACTTAATTGGTTATAATCAACATACATTATACAATTAATATATTAAATATAATTTATCATAATTATATATGAATATATTATTTGATAATATCCTCAATTAATTATAATATGTGTATTAATTGTAATTAATATGTGATTGAGAATATACCTAAACAAGTACTTAATATTTAATATAATTAATATATGATGTATGTTAAGACAGTTAATGCATAATAATATTCTTAGCATATGTTAATTTGTCACATGAGTAATATTTTCAACCAAGTGTGATCCTAAAGAAAAGGATAATTGTTGTTTCCCAGTTTGGAAATTATTATTGTTAGCTTCTCATTCGTTTTTGATGTCATTGTAAAGATTTTGTACTCAAAGTACACAAGTGAGGGGACTTCAAAAATCATTGCTGAGAAATTGAAGGATTGTCAGAGTCCTGGTTTTCTGTTACAATTACTCTTGCTTGCCTTAAGTACATTACTTCACCTTTTGAAACTAGATAAAAATAACCCATATTTAAAGGATGAGGAAAATAGGCCATGAAGATATAATTATTTACATGGAAGCGTACACGACTTACAAAATGTTTCTAAATATTTCCTCTTTCCCAAAGAATGGCAGAATAAGAATGTGCATATGAACAAGAATGATAGAGCAAGGAGTGGAAGACAGAAGAGTAGTTTCATCTTGTTGTGCCCCTCACAGGGGTTACTTGTGCCTCTCACCTCAAGCCCTGGCAGCAGTTCCTCTTCAAGACTCCACCATCCACTTCACGATTTTGGTGTAAGTGACACACTGGCTCACAATTGTAAATAGTAAATTATCTGGATAAATGTAGGTGGTAATGATTTTAGCTCCGGTGTATTTCTAATTATGGTTAGGACACTAAACTTTTAAAAGATTAATGTAAAAACTATGCATATTTGTGATAAGAAATATCAGAAAAGATCTATATCTGCAGAAATTCAAACACACTGTAATATTGTTCATATGTATCGCCAGTGTCCTGAAGAGTCAAATAAATTAAATTTGAGTGATCGAGTTAAAGAGAATTCAATCCTCCCTGATTCTAAATTCAGCATGAAGATCATAGGGCCATTGTTAGCTTTTTATATATTAAAAAAACAAACAGAGTAATCACATTATTATTTTTTAAAGCTAAAGAAATACCTACCGAGCTCAGTAGAGTGCACAACAATTGTCAACAGACTACACATTGTTTATAAATAACGATATTTTGGTTTTATTGAATAGATGGTTTCACATCTGACCAAACCTACAAATTCTAATGGACAGATTACAAATGGAATATAGCACAGCACATTGTCATGAGCCATGAAGTAAACAACTTAGATGTGCAGTTCAGCACATTGTTTACATGCCTCAGCAAGGTCAAAATTATTTTTCTGCAGGTAAATTGCTGTTTCCCTGAAGAATATGCTGCAGAAGGACAATGAAGAAAGGTCCACTGATACAGCTCGATAGCAATTTTCCTTGCTGGAACCTTTACTTTTTGTGCTAAAAATTCAAGCATTTAACATTTTTGTGGTATATGCGTACCTTTGTGTACATGAAAACACATAATATACCTAAATAGTTTTGATTGGGTGAAATGAAAATTAATAATACAAGCACATTGTTTGAGTGTGCAAATACAATATGCAAAACTTCTAATGTCTACATCAGAAAGTAAAGCATGGGGGCTAGAGAGATGCCTCGGGGGATGAAGGGTTTGCTATGCAAGCATGAAGAGTGCCCCTCATCTGTGATGAGGTGTTGTAGAGCGCAGTACTGGGCAGGTCTTCTGTGAATAGTCACAGCTGCTGTCAGTTCATAGCATGATAGCTATGTCATGTACAAAAGCTTTATTTTTTTTTTGCTGTGTATCTCCTATTTTCTGGATCTTGTATTCTTTCTGCCCTGTCCTTCATGAAGTTTTTTGAGCTTTTAGGGGGTGATGCAGCTGTCATGCTTTGGATCAAGGACTCAATTGTCATTTATTCTCAGCACTTGGGGCTGGTGGTGTGTTTATTAACTCACTGCCTTTTGTAGGAAGAACCTTGCTTGATGAAGGCTGAGCATAGCATCAGTGTATAGGTATGAACTTAAATACCTAGAAAGAATTTTGAAAGCATTACCATTTAGTACAACAATAGTAGTAAGTACTCCCGAGGACCAATGAACTACTCAGCCATGGCCTCTTCACAGAACCAGATAGAATTCTCTCCTAAAATGCTAACCTCAAATCCAAGGAGAACATTGATTGGCTATCCCCATAATTGTCATACTCTATTGCACTTACATGGCACAACCTTTCTGCAGATGATTGTTATGGCTCACAGGATTCACAGTTGGGTACAGTTATCTGCTGAGCATTCTGTGTGTCATCTTTGGCATAAGAAATTAGACAGTAGGACAGAACCCTCTAGCTCATACCCAGCTTGATTCCTTTGGGTCCTGTCACCACAGTATACAGTGTCTTCAATGGGGTCTGAGCACCAAATTCTGGCAGATAACAAGAGGGATGGCAATAGCCTCTAGGAACTCCATGACAACAACTCATAGGGAGGCATTCCACAAATCATTGTGATTTATGTTTAATATGTGTCCTGAGGGAACATTATCCATCAAAGTCTTTTTATACCATTTAAATAAGCTTATTGACCAGCAGATTCCACATGGCATTATGATATGTACTGAGTTTGATTTACCCCTTTTCCTCCCTAGATGTTTATATTCTCACTAGTCCTTCCATCCATTTACATGTGTGAATCATGTGACTGTACAATTCCCTCCCTCTAATTTTCCTTTTCTATCTCCCTGGACTTTACCATTACTCAATCTGATATGTTCTCAAGCTCATATTTACTAAAGAGAATGGCATCTTTTGAGCATATTCCTTAGTATATAGCTCATCTGTGTTGCATATAGTCCTACTTTTAGCTATTTGAGGAAAGTTCCATAGTGGCTGTACCACTTTATATCCCCTTAAAGGAATTAATAAGAATTATCTATTCTCTGCGCCCTGCCAGTATTTATAGTTATTTGTTTTATTATGGTTGAAATTAGATAAAGTCCCAGGGAGTTTTCATTTTCATTTCAATGATGGCCAAGTATATTGAACACATTTTAAATTATTTGTCATCTATTTGCTTTTAATCTTTTGAGAACTCACTGTGCATTTCTTAGTACAATTGTTCATGCCATTGTTATGGTTCCTGTGAAGATGATAAAACATCATCATGAAAAAAATCCTTTGTGAGGAAAGGATTTATGTCACCTTACAATTCTAGATCATACTCAAGTACTGAAGGAAGTCAGGGCGGGAACTCAAGGAAGGAGCCTGGAAAATAACTGAAGTAGAAGTCATGAAGGAGGGCTGCTTACTGGCTTGCTCAACTTACTTTCTTTTATCAAGCAAGATGATTTTCAAGGGAGACACCACTCCCAGTATGCTGGGCTCACCCACATAAACCATTAATCAAAAAAAAAAAAAAATGCACCACAGACTTGCCTACAAGCAAACAAGCGAATGCATTATTTCAACTGAGTTTCCTTTTCCCAGATAATTGTAGTTTTGGTTGTCAGTGGAAGAACCAAGGTCATTCACTTTCTTGATACTTATGGTTTGTTTTGGTTTTGTTCATATTCTTGATGTTTAGTTTTTAAAACTCTTTCTGTATTCTGGATATTAAGCCTCTGACAGATGTCAGGCAAAGATTTTCTCTCATTCTTCATGCTGCCTCGTCACTTAATTAGTCATGGGTGCGGCTCTTGTCTACTTGATCCTCTCATCCTCAGTACCCAAGTAGCTTGGATCTGTGCAGGCCCTGTGTATAGAGCCACAGCTTCTGTGAGTTCATAAGTGCATCATTCCTATTGTATCTCTTTCTTGGTGACACAGTTTCCTTGGTACCACCCATCTTTTCTGCCTCTTACAATATTTCTGTCTCGTCTTCTGAACAGAGCACTAGGGAAAATTTTTGGTGAAGACAAACTATTTAGAATTTGGAGTTTCAAGGTCTCTCACTCTGTGCATTGCCCATCTGTGGGTCTCTGTATTAGTTCTCATATACTTCAGGGGGAAGCTTCTCTGATGATGGCTGAGCAAGACAATGATCATATTTGTGTTTTGGGGTCTGGGATACCTCACTCAGGATAATTTCTTTCAGATCCACTCATTTACTCATGAATTTCCTGATTTTGTATTTTTAACAGCTTAGTAATTATTCATTCTATTGTGTAAATGTACCACACTTTCCATATTCACTCATCAGCTGAGGCACACCTGGGCTGCTTCCAATTTCCGGCTATGACAAATAGAGCAGCAATGAACATGGACGGACAAATCTTTCTGTAGTAAGATGTAAAGTCCTTTGCATATATATGCCTAAGAATGATAGCGAGTTTATCTCTGTCTCACCCAGTGCCACTGGGCTGGTTTCTCTCCTGCCTGTTGGGTCCTCACATCTGTTTATGAAATATCACTCTGAGGCTTAATATCAACTACAATTGCTTGACCATTGACTCAGACATATTACTGACTAGCTCTCTCTTATAAATTAACCCATTTTTATTAATCTATGTATTGCCTCGAGGCTGTGGCTTATCAGTAATGATCAGGCATATTACTCCTTCAGAGACTACATGGCTTCTCCCTAACTCCACCTTCCTTCTCTCTGCATCTTTGTTTGGATTTCTCTCTTAGCTATATTCTGTCCGGCCATTGGCAAAAACAGCTTTATTCATCTACCAATAAAAGCAACAAATATTCACAGCATACAGAAGGGCATCCCACATCAGAGATAGAGGTACATTGAGGTATATTGATTTCTATTGTCTTGAAGAACTATTATACTAATTTCCACAGTGGCAGTACTCAGTGCAATCCCCAGCAATGAATAATCCCGCTTTCCCTGCATCCTTGCCAGAACACACTATCATTTATTTTATTGATCTTGGCCCCTCTGCCTTGTGTAAGAAGAAATCTCTATGTACTTTTGATTTGCAGTTCACTTATGAATAAGGAAGTTGAATATTTTAAAGGGTGTTTCTCAGACATTTGAGAGTTCATTTTTTGAGAACTTTCTTTTTATAACTATATACCACTTTCTAATTGGGCATTTGTTTTCTTTATGTCTAATATTTAGTTAGTGATGTCTAGTCTTTAGTTTTAAAGTTAGTTCTATATTTTAGATCTTAGACCTTTATTGGGTATGTAAAGATCTCTTCTCATTCTGTATCTTGTTGCTTTTTCTGAATAATGATGCCCTTTGCCATATGAAATCATTTCATTTTCATGAGTTTCCATTCATTATTTGTTGTTCTTTGCATCAGTGTTTTCAGTGTTCTGTTCAGAAGTCTTTCCCTTTGTGAATGAGTTCAAGACTAGTCCTCATTTTCTCTTCTGACAGGTTCAATGTATCTGGCCTAATGTTGATAACTTTGACCCATTTGGAGTTGAGTTTCATGTAGGTGAAAAATAAAGATCCATTCTTATATGCATCCAATCATTTAGACAGCACTGTTTATTGAAGATGCTATCTTGTTTTTACAGTGTGTGTTTCTCGTTCCCTTATGAAAATTCGGGTGTCCATAGTTATGCAGATTTATGTCAGGGTCTTCAATTTGGACGTAGTCAATATGCCTGTTTTCCTTCCAATATCATGCTGTTTTTTTCTATATCTCTGTTATACAATTGAAATATTGAATGGTGATATCTCCAGTAGTTGTTTTATTTTTCATGATTATTTTAATTATCCTGTTTTTGCTATTGTTATTGTTTTTTGTCTTTCCATATAAAGCTGAAAATAGAACTAATGTCAATGGAGAATTGTGTTGGAATTTTGAATGGGATTGTATTAAATCTGTAGATTGCTTTTGGTATGTTGGCCACTTTCTCTCATGTTTGTAGAATCCTATTGAATGTTTTGCAGATTCATCATGCATTGGGACACAGAGCAAGTCACAACAAATGTCAGAAAGTTGAAATAGTCTGATCCCAGTAGAGTAAGTCTTATGGATAAACAGCATGAAAAATTACATAAAATAACCAAGCTCAAGGAAATGATGAATGTATCACTGCAGAAAATTTTAAGACTCCTTCAGCTAAGTGTAAATAAAGACACAACATCCCCAAAACATGGGTTAATTGTTGTCTCCAAAGAAACAAATTACCAGAATTGAGTGTCTACATTTAAAAATACCAGAGGTCTGTAATAAAGGGTTTAACCATAGAGAAAACAAAACAAAAGAAACCTATAATTAGTAAGGTGGGAGAAATAGCTAACATCAGAGAAGAAATATATTGTAAAAATGATAAAAACAATACAATCCAACAAAGATTTGAAGCAAGAAAAATATAAATAATATTGAAAAACCCTTAGCCAAATTGCCAGAATAGAGAGAAAACCAAATAACAAAATTAGACATGAAGTGCAAGACTTTACAGCACATAACTTTGAAATCCAGCAAAACCAAAAGGAAATACCTTAAAACACTGTATTCCACAAAATAAAACAATTAAAAAGAAAAGGATGAATTTTTAGAAGAATATTATATATCAAACTTAAGACCAGACAAAATAAATAATTTAAGCAGAGCTATAGTGAGCAATGGGATTGAAGTAATGAAGAAAAAATATATTTTCAATTGAGTTAGGTAGAGTATTCTGCAAATGTCTGTTACATTCATTTGATTTATGAAATCGTTGATTCTAACATTCCTGTGTTTATTTTTATCTAGGTCACCTGTCTAATTATAAGTTTGGAATATTGAAATCATTTACTCTTACTGTGTTGAGATTAATCCTCGACTTTATATGTAGTGGCATTTGTTTCATAAAGGTGAGCAATCCTTTGATGCATAAATTATTTAGAATTTTAATTTCATCCTGCTAAATTGTTTTCCTGATCAGTATGAAGTGATTTTCTTTATCTTCTGATTAAGTTTGCTTTGAAATATAACACAATTAATTCAGTCCAGAAACTCCTTTATAGAATACCTGCAATCTTCCTCCTGGGATGTTCTAGATAACATCAATCAAATAATCAATATTGCCATCCTGGGAACCAAACCCATGTCCTCTACAGGAGCATCGAGTGCTCTTAAATATGGACCCATTTTTTTTACAGCTCCATTATTTTACATGTAGAAGTAATATATTGAAGAAATTGTTGACATTTTCCATACAAACAAGCTTTCTTCTTCTATGACTAGGGCAGAGCAGTCTAATTTTATGTGAATTCCTTCCTCTATTGAACTAATTTATTATCTGTTCTTTCTTCCCCATTGACTATACCCCACCCCACTGAGGCTACTTCCTGATGTTGGAAGTAATTTACTTACTGCAGAGCCCTTTGAATTTCTCTTCAGGCTGTAGTTCACTGTTCATTTATTAAAGTATTTACTTCCTGCCTGAAGTGCCCAGACTTCATCAAATGTATTTCTATTACTGTCACACTCTCTCTCCTCTTAATTAGCTTGGTAAAATCTGTGTAAATACTGAATGTCAGTAAAAGTGGCTTTCCTTTGTACTAAACTCCCTTACACTGCTCTCCAGAAAACATCTGCAGATGCTCACCCACTTTGATGGAGGATATGAAATAGGACTTTTTAACTTTAGTCACAGGATAAAAAGAAGAGATCATTCCAATTACTGAATATATAACCTAATGTCAGCCTGATTCCACATACTGTATTCTAAGATAGCTTCTTTGCTCTTCCAGGCAAACAGCCAATAAAACTGTTATAGAGCAAAAACACACTTAAAAAGGGAAGAAAAGCATAAAATTCAGGATGAAATCTAGATTGTGTGAAACATTATGAACAACTAAAATTCCAACAATTTTGTTTTTCTAAGTTAATGTACTATTTATATAGCTGAGAGAACAATAAACAGTCAGTTCAAGAGGGTTTAGTACCAAAAATGGTGTCCAAAGTATATGAATTGATTCCAAACATATTAAAACTGAAACCAAGAACATTGGATGATATGTGTTGACACTTCAGATCCTGGCATATTGCTTCAAATTCTAATGAAAACAGTGATTACCATGTAGTTACATGGTAATACTCAAAGTCAGGAGTATGTTGAAGTAGCAAAAGTATGGAATTTGAGAACATGTAGTACAGATAATATGTAAACATTTTTAATAAAAATTCCAAGATTATCAAATCAAATGGTGTTTGAGGAGCTGAATATGATAGAACCATTTTTTTAAAAAAAACAATAACATTGACTGACTTATATCAGATAAAGCCTCTCATTGTCATATTGTTAAACTTTTTAGACTGAGTCATTCTATGTATGTCTTTACTACCCGCACACATTGTAACACAGCTTTTAAATATATACACAGTCACAGCCATAATGTCATAATGTCACTGTGGATTCTGTGTCTTAATGTTTGAAGAGCAGACACTTGGATAAACTGTCACAAAGGTGCATCTTGATTCTGCTGTCTTTTAAGAGGATCTAACAAACCAAGCATAAACCTGCTTATGATACACAACACAGAAGTCAAGGATTTTTACAGGTTGAAGTCTTACAAGAAAACTATGAAGAAGATTGTAAACATAATCACTCACAAATTCATTAGTATCTCGTAACTGCCTCTGCTCTTTCATAGGAAGAAGCTCATTAACTTTTGATTTAGAGGCAGTTTCTGGCCTCAATATTTTTGGACTGTTGTCCTAGAGATATTACTGCCTGTATTTGGTTACCAATATGAAACCATCTGTGGAGGCTTCCTTATAATATGGATTGACTGGAAAACCAAGAAGAGCTAGTTTTGAGTTCAAGTTGATCTCAACTCCCCAAAATATGTGCAAAGTATGTTATCACAATACAGGATGCCTACAATGTGGAATTCATGTGATTATTTTTTATAATAATGTGAATTGTTAAGTACAAATAGTGTGGTGGCTATGCATTTAGTGGAATAAATAAAAATGATAGTGGGTTTTGCAATGTTTTCAAATTTCCTACTACGAGCAGAGGCAATGAGTTAGAAGCTAACAAGTGGGAATTTTATTTAAAAGCAAAGGAAATGATAACTAAAATGATAAGGGAGCCTATATATTTAGTGAAAGCACACAACAAACTTCTAATAAGGGAATCATATCCAAAATATGGGGCCTATTCACAGAACCCAAAGTAAATAAAGCAGTGAATAAGCAAAATCCAGTAACCTGTTTTCCTTGAAAAAACATGCATATATAATAGACATACATACGTTTCATATACGTACACATATGTAAGAAAAGGTGTTAAACATCAATAATCATTAACAGAATGCAAATTAGAAAAATCCTGAAATCAAAACCAAATTGAAATATTGTGTCACACCTGTGAGAATGTCTCTTATGAAAATGATAATCTGGACCATGTTTTTGTTTATTTTTTTTTATTTTCCACCTTTTTACAGAGCCTCCATATTGATTTCCTTAGTGGCTGTACAAGTTTGTGCACTCAGAAACAATGAAAAAAGGATCCCCTTTTCTCATAGGCACACTTCAATTTGTTATAATCTGTTCTGTTAGTCTAAGTGATTCTGACTGGAGGAAAATGAATCTCCAACTAATTTTAATTTGAAATTCTATGGTTGCTGAGTATATTGCATACTTTAAATATATGTTTAGCCTGTGTTACAATAAATCTTTCCACCAAAAGCCGCCACCAAAAGCCGCCGAGCCCCACCTCCACGCGTGCACTTTACGCCAGCCGTCCACCCAAGTTAGGGCCCAAATTAATACACAGAGAGACTTATATTAGGCACAATGCTGCTTGGCCAATGACTAGGACTTCTCATCTGTTAGCTCAGTCTTAATTATCATAAACCTATATATTTTATAAGACTTATAGAGGATGCCTTTCGCTGGAGCCCTCTCTTGCTGGAGGATGCGAAGGGAAAAGGGGCTACTTCCTGTTTCTCCTTTCTTAAATATGAGTCTCCTTGCTATGTCACTTCCTGCCTGAACACCACTTCTCTAGTACATTTCCCAGAATTCTCTTTGACTCCTAGTCCTGCCTAACTTGCTGTCTCATTTGCCAAACAAGTACTTTATTCAATAATCAATAAGATGAACATACACAGTACATTCCCCATCAAGCCTGCTATAATTTTTTAATTTAACTTAATTAAAAATTATTTTAAAGTTTTTTATTTTACATACAAACCACAGCTCCCCCCTCCCATTCTTTCTCTTCCCCCTACCCAGCCAACCCCCGCATCCATTCCTCAGTAAGGGTAAGGCCTCCCAAGGGGAGTCAACAGTCTGGCATATCAAATTGAGGCAGGACCAAGCTCCTCCCCCCTGTGTCAAGGCTGGGGAAACTGCATAGGACTGAACCAGGACTTCTGAATGTGGGTGACAGTTCTGTGGCCTGGGCAGTTCATAGGGACAGTTGCAGTGAGGACAGGATCTATTTCTAGTACATGAAATGGCTTTTTGGAGCCCATTCCCTGTGGAGGGATACCTTGCTAATGCCTCATTTTTTAAACATTTC